ATCAGTCAGGGAGAATGAACTTAACCACGTTGTGGTTTCAGGCACCAGAGGCATTTGGCATCAATAGTTCTCACTTTTCCCCTTGAATCACAAAATTAAATGATATTTGGAATCACTACACTGTGCTAACTTTTGGTAAACAAACAAAAAACCTTTTTAAAAACACCAAGGTTATTTTTCTGTTATGTCTGCACTTTGTTTCAAATAATTGGAATGCCACGGCATGGTTCCAAATTAGTCACCAGGTACAATTTTAAAATATATTACTCTTTTATTGTGCTCCACTGACACAATGATTTTACCATATTTCCCTAGTTTTCTACAACAGCAAAAAAAGCTGAAAATCGAATCTCAAAAGTAGTCTGTTCTAGATATGAATGTTTGTTCAGTTTCTCCTTTCTATAATATTCTTTCCCTCATGTCTCAGTAAATAAAAATTGTAAAAGAGTAATAAAGCACAGCTAGTCAACTATAAAAGTATATGATTTTTAAATAGAGAAACAAAAAGTACCATTCATGCCCACAGTTTCTGAGAAAGAAACGTCAACCCCGGGATTGTTCTGCCACTGCCTGGGTTAATCATGTTGGCTTTGGGGACACTTCATACGAAAATACAATTGTGTTTGGGATCAAACACTTCCTTTAAGAAAATTAAAGCTAGCAACTAGTCACGCCAAGAGCTTTAATCATCCCAGAATTTAAAAACAGGTTTATTACTTAAAAGCAAACTAATCCAGATCACCCTGTAAATTTCTAGCATAGTTCCCACATTATGAATTTCAAGTAGTGACAATACCATCTTATATTTCATACTTAAACAAACCAGATTTCTCTCTAAAAGATCTCTATCTATTATATAACAAGCTATTTTGAATAACAAAAGTTTGTAAACCCAGTAAATTCTAGATCTCTTAAATTCTAGATCTCTAGATCTCCCACTCTGAGCTCCTTCTTTGAAGCTATACCACTTACCATTAGTCAATTCTGTGATAAACTACCAAATTTACAAAGAAAAATAAAGAAATCTAGGTGACAGGGCACAACACTGTGACACTACCCTGCCCCACATCACCTTAGGGTAGACATCATCGTCATCATCAACCTTTTTAATGGTGGAGTTTTAAGAAGCCCAGAGGTCAAGTAACTGGTCCAAGGTCTCTGAGCTATTCAAGTGGCAGTGGAAGGAGGCCTCACACCACGTCTAACTCCAAAGCCCAAGTTCCTTCTAAGATGCTATGCTCCTCCTTGGATTGGTTCATGAATTTTACTGTCAACTGAACTAAAAAGTTGGATTCTTTTATACATCCATTTAAAAGTCCTTATAGGAGTTTTTTGAGGACTCATTTCTTTAGCTGTTTCAGAACCCTGGACATTTTTTTTTTAATCGTATCTATAGTTGTTATCTAAATAACACAGCACACAGAGGACAGAGAGGGTTCAAAGACTCAAAATTCTAAAAGAACTGCATGAACAGTAAGCACATCGGTATCAAAAAAACTGTAGGGATTTGATAACTTCAGTGCTGATCAGCTACAAAACTGTGGACATACTTCCTATTACTACTCAAATGAGCATATTTAATTAACCCCAAAACATCACCATGTAAAAGCAACTGCAGTAATCCCAACCAAAAGAAAATGTCAAGCCATAAATTCTAAAATGATTTGCATGGGAAGCCTCTTGAAAATAATTTTTATTTCTGGCTTGGCGCCTGTAGCACAGTGGTTATAGTGTCAGCCACATATACCAGGGCTGATGGGTTTGAACCCAGCCTGGGCCAGCTAAACAACAATGACAGCTGCAACAGAAAATAGCCAGGCGCTGTGGCAGGAGCCTATAGTCCCAGCTGCTTGGGAGGCTGAGGCAAGAGAATAGCTTAAGCCCAAGAATTTGAGGTTGCTGTGAGCTGTGACACCACAGGTCTCTATCGAGGGAGACATAGTGAGACTCTGTCTCAAAAAAAAAAAAAAAAAAAAATTATTTATCAGAAGCTATTAAACACAACAATTCATACTTTAGAAAGCATTCCCTTTACTTTACAAACCTTTTTCAAGATGCAATTCTACTTGTTTATACTAAAATGAGAGCCCAGTTTCACGACCTGCCGTTTCATCAGTAGTTGAGTCCCACTGGCTTCACAGACTTCCGTAAGGTCCTTTATCTGGAACTGCTAAAAGCTTCCTCTGTACTCTGTGACCTAATATGCTGCAGAACAATAGAAGTGAGTTTCCTTGTCTAACCACTATCCTAATATTAGTAAGAAAATATAAGCTTAAAAGAATGCTTTCCCATACATAAGATCTTTATTTTGAGCCCTAATTTATGAAGTGAATCCTGAGAATCTAACAAAAGCACATAAAAGTGTTTTCTAAGAGAAGAATGATCTGATAACTATGATCTAGAGAAAAGAACTGAACTGTAATCACACAGTTTGGTAACTTAGCTGAGTGTGAAAACAATAGACTTTCTCCCTTTACATAAAAGCTTCTTAGCAAGAACCAACAAGGTCTCAGTCTCTGTGGCAACAAGGGCCCTTGCAGAAATGCAGATTCTCTGGAAATGACGCTTCTACATAGCGGGGCATAAAGCATCCCAAGGCAATGAAGAGATTCAAAAAAAGTTCAACTAAGAAATGACTTTTTGCCTGATCCACAACAGCAACCCATATAATTACTTAGCTTTCTTATGATTGAAAATGAGTTAAACACTTTTTTCAACTTCCAAACCTAGAATTAATTCTAGATGATGAAGACACCTCGGATAAATGAACTTCAGTTTAAAAGCTGAATTTTAGTTAACTGCCTCATTTCTTTCCCCAAGCAAATAGGCTGGCAAAGGATAAAAAGTATTTTTTTAACCTATTTTTGGTAAGCATACTTGCTCACAAGCCATCATTAAACTAAACTTTAAGTAGAATAAGAAGGCAAAAGATTCTATGCAATGAGTCTATCCTTATTTGAAAATGGCTAGCACCATCTTCGTATGGAATATGGGCTCCTGGATCATCAAAAGCTTGAGAGTTATGCTTTCAACCTGTAACTGCTTTTTTATCTACCATATATGTTCAGGAGGGGTTCCTCTTTCTTAATCAGTGAGCTCACTAGTCACGGTTAGCTCAAAGGTGTCTTTATTCTTCTAAATCAAGAATCCAGCTCAGTTAACCAGGATCAATAATCTCTTTTGGATGGAAGGGCAAACCCATGACTCTAAGTTTGATTATGCATCTTGTTCACAGAATTTTAACCCTAGGTACCTGTTATTAATATGCCACACCTCTGAACACCTATCTATCCTCCAGGGACCCAAATATGAGCACAAAAGCTGCTCTAAATTACCAAAAATTTCTTTATGCTCCATTTATGTCAAGATTTGCTATTTCTATGTATTGATTAATTTTTCTGATTACTTTGTTCTACAGCACAACTCAGTTTTTGATAATTCATGCCTTCATTACGTAGTGAATGGAATAAAAACCATGGAAGAGATGTACAGGCAGAAACATTTTCATAGGTTCCTATAAAGAACTGATTTTTCGAAATACAAAAAAGTCCAATTCATCCAGAAACTTCTCAAATCCCCTTCACACTTCTTTCCACACCACCTTCCATACCTTCCCATGTACTTTCCGCGACTCTTACCTGGGTTACCTATATTCTCCTAATAACATTCACTCTTCTTATCTTATCAGAAAACAGAAGTCACCTTACAAATATTTGATCTAAAGCAGTGGCAGAAATATAGTGCTACATTATGTGGTATAAGGATAATATTTTACATTCAACTAAAGGGCACTCAATGACATAATCTGATGTAGCTCTGGAAGCAATTATATGTAGTTTTCACTGTAAATTTACTTGAAAAAATATCTTTACTAGAGACAGTACTTCCACATTCTGTACCCAATTAACATTATTCTAAAATAACTCTTGACCTCAAGAGTATTCCAAAACAGTTACAAGATTTGAAATGAAGTGGAAAAAAATCATACAAATAAGAAAATCTTAAACCTGGGTTTGTGGCTCCACCTATAATTTAGCGGTGTCACCTTGGTTAGGTCATTTGACCCCAAGAGCCCTGATATCTTCAACTGCAAGATGAATGCATTGAACTAAATTTTCTTTAAGGTTCTATTCCAACTCTAAAATTCAAGGACTCTATGAAATGCTAATTCTCCCCACTTCAAAGATAAGCAGATGATAACAGCAAGTTAGTCTGGATTGTTTTTTCCTTAAAAAAAAAAAAATGATCCAACTCAGGATGTTTTCTTGGATCAAAGTTTTATTTAGGAAAATCACAAAAAAAAAAATGATGCTGAAAAAGGGGTGAGGGGGGAAAGAAAGCGTACACTGACTTAGCTAAAATAGAAACTTCAATCACCCTTTAGCCAGTTTGACAATAGTTATTCAAAGGCTGCTACTCTAATCACTGGCTTCCTAAAATAGAAATATTCAGAGTTGTTTCCTTCTCTTCCCCCACAGATTCATTCCGAATATAAAGCAAAGCGTCTAAAATCAATTTACAACTTCAGGATAAGTTGCAGGGAGCGAAGTGAACTCCGCACAGCTCGCCAAATCATTTGCATTTAAGTATGATTAGGGCTAAGAAACGGTTCTTATTATAAAGATGTGAGAAACGTACAAGGCGCAGGTGACATCTGCAAAGGGAAACAGGATTGTCAGCAAGGGACAGAAGATGAGGATCTTTAGGCAACAGGTCCAGAGCTGATACCGCAACACATCCCGGGAGGGGTCGATGGCCGCCACCTCGCTTGCCGCCCTCCGCAGCTCCAAAGGCATCGCCTTGCCTCTCCCCCGCCCCCATCCCACGCCCCTGCGGCAGAAATCTCCCTAATTACTTGATTCTCTGGGCCTACTCCCTCCTCCTTCCCCGCAGGCCCTCAGATCCCTGGGCGCGGAGGCCAAACCCGGCCTGCCGCCCCCTCCCCCGCCGTCCCCGCCTCAGGGGACCCGCAGCCCGGTACCAGCCACCCGACCGCTCACCTGCACCTGTTTGCGGAAGTGGCGCGGCCCCAGCACTGCCAGCGGCCAGGAGCAGCAGTAGCAGCCTCCGCAACGCCGGCGGCCCCGGCATCTCGTCCACCGCGCGGCTCCGGGGCCGGCTCTCCGGTCGCCTTCCTTTCGTCCGTCCGTCAGGCGGTTCTGCCTTCCTTAGCAGCCTCAGCAGCACCCGCGCCGACTGCTCCTCAGCACACGTTGCTTTCGCCAAACCTCAGTCTGGCTCCTGGTCCGCACCTGCCACTCTGGCCACAGAAACACCATCCTTCCCGCTCGTCTGCACCGCTGCCGCCGCCTCTCAACAGCAGCAACGGCAGCAGCCCTGCGGAGCCGCGGGCCCGGGCAGCCGCGCTCCCGCCGCCATGATGGGCTGCGTCATGTGGCGTAGGCGGGGGCGGGACGCCGTGATAGACCGCCCGGCCAGCCATTCGTCAGTCCACACCGGCCGGGGAGACCCCGCCCAACCATCCTGAAGGAGGGAGAAGTGGCTACCGGTGCGCCCCCTGCAGACGGAAGAGTGCGTGGGCATCAGGTAATACAATTATTTTATATTGAAAAATACAGGAAAATGTAAAGACCATAAAAATCATCCTGTTTTTTCCTCAGTGTTTCATAATATGCAAAAATCGGTCTGTTTTGTCTTCTCCTTTTTTTACTTGTCAGAGCTGTTTTAGGCTCTCCTTAGGTTGACCTATACATCCTACGGCCATCAAGAAGATTTTCAGTAAGAAGAAAATGCCTTTCCCCGCGTCACCCACGGACTCAGCTCCCGAGCTCAAGCTGTTCTCCCTGCCAAGAGTGCCCTTCCTGTCCCCTCTTGTCTACCTGGCACTCTTCCTTTCATGTGTCAAGACTCACCTGAAGTATGACTTCATTGATGAATCCCCGGGAGAAATGACTCGCATCTCCTCGTCTCCTTTCCTGGCCCTGTACAGATCGCTATCTCGGCTGAGTGTTCTATTGTCCCTAATGACTGTACTCTCCCTAAGGACAGCAACTGTGTCTGATTCAGCTGGGAGTATCCCCCGGGGCTGGCGCCGGGCCTGTGTTTTAGTAGGTGTTCTCTAAAGGAATGGTGCACAGTGGTGGTCCTGGGTACCAGGGAGGAGCAGCTTCCAGGTGCATTTCACCACTAAGAGGTGAGGTGAGATCACGGTCCTACCACAAGGCTAGAGAAAGCATTTTCCAGGCACATGTAACATAGGGGTCAAAGGCCTGGGATTGGGAAAATGTCCAGCATTTCTGGAGAAGTGCTTGCAGTCCAGTTTGTGAATCAGAAGAACTGATTTGAGTCTTATCAGATGGAACATTACAACTGGCAACAGGGGAACCTCCCCAAGTGTCCAAACTCCCCAAATGTCCATCCTAAATACCAAATGTTCATGATGCTAACCCAGAGCTGTATACACAGACTATGCCCAGGAAACATTAGTTGAATGATTGAGACAAACCTATAATGAATACCTAAGGAAGCAAACAGCTGAAATGTGGAACGCTGAGTTAAAACGTCTGGGGCTTTCTGTTGATCACTATGTGGGATGTGAAGGAAGGCAAAGGTCTACAAAAGAGACACAATCACCCTGTTGTGCTTCCAGTTCTATCAGGAAGCTTTGGACTTTGAGTTCACGGAAGCCAGGGAACACTCACACTGTGTACTGGGAGGAGACTCTGACTGCTTGCAGTAGTGCTGGTCCAACAAAGGCCCTGCCTCATAATCCATGTGTTTAGTTAAGGTACACCCCAACAAGTCAGACCACAATTAAGGTACACCCCAACAACAAGTCAGACCACAATCCCCAAGTAGGTTTTGTTATTATTTGAGCAAGCCCAAAAGTTTAAAACAACATACTTTTTCCTCCTTTCATAGTACAGGGGTTAAAGTACACAATCCTCAGAGAGTGTCTTAAGAAAACTTTTACCCCACTACCCACCTCACCATTTATACCTTTGCCCAATACTTTTCTTGAAGACTTCCAGTTAGAGATTTTAGTAAACAAATGAAAACCTGTTGGCTTTGTTTAGTTTTACCTAAGAGTTAGAAAATAGCCTTTAGCACAATTCGGGATTAGATGCCTAAGATTAGAAGCAGTATCTGATCAGTGTTTCTACAGCTGTTCTTACACGTGCTCAGCCTTTTCCAAGTTTTTCTCCATGCTAAACCATCACTTGGAAGACCCTCCTGGCAGTGTCTGTCCCATCAGCAATCTCTGGTTGAGGGTTGGATGCTGAAGGACATAGAGGAAGTTTAAGAGTGGATGAGCTAAAAAAAAAAAAAAAAAAAAAAAAAGAGTGGATGAACTGCACCTCTAGAAAGCTGGCACCCAGAAGTATTCTAAATGTTAACATAACTCGGCTCGGCGCCTGTGGCTCAAGTGGCTAAGGTGCCAGCCACATACACCTAAGGTTCGAATCCCCAGCCTGGCCCACCAAACAACAATGATGGCTGCAACCAAAAAATGGCCGGGCGTTGTGGTGGGCGCCTGTAGTCCCAGCTACTTGGAAGGCGGAGGCAGGAGACTCGCTTGAGCCCAGGAGTTGAAGGTTGCTGTGAGCTGTGATGCCATGGCACTCTACCCGGGGAGACAGCTTGAGTCTCTGTCTCAAAAAAAAAAAAAAAAGTTAACATAACTCAGCGGGATCAAATGGGGCAACTAGGAAGTTCCTATTGATGGCAATACTTGGAGCTGCCCTTGTACCAACTCATGAAAGCTAATTGTTAAATCTTCAGGAATGTTGCATGCTGGTTGTTAAAACATAGCCGGTGGCTCAGTGAGTAGGGCGCTGGCCCCATATACCAAGGGTAGTGGGTTCAAACCAGCCTTGGCCAAACTGCAACAAAAAATAACGGGGCATTGTGGCGGGCGCCTGTAGTCCCAGCTACTCAGGAAGCTGAGGCAAGAGAATCACCTAAGCCCAAGAGCTGGAGGTTACTGTAAGCTGTGATGCCACAGCACTCTACCGAGGGTGACAAAGTGAGACTCTGTCTCTAATAAATAAATAATATAAATGTATAATTAAATTATATTTAAAAATAAAGGTAATGAGAAAAACTTCAAGAATGGAAAGCAACAAGAACACTAGGAAAACTCATCAAAATAAACTTCTTCAGAACTCTAGGAATTAGCCAAAGGCTTGCAACAACATGACTCAATTTCTTTTCTTTTCTTTCTTTATTTTTATCCTTTTTTTTGGGGGGGGGGACAGAGTCTCAAGATGTTGCCCTGGGTAGAGTGCCATGGCATCATAGCTCACAGCAACCTCCAACACTTGGGTTCAAGCGATCCTCTTGCCTCAATTTTTCTATTTTAAGTAGAGAAAGGATCTTGCTTTTCCTCAGGCTGATGTCAAACTCATAAGCTCAAGCACTCCACTTGCGTTGGCCTCCCAGAGTGCTAGGATTACAGGTGTGAGCCACCGTGCCCGGCCTCAATTTCTTTTCATTCTTTCTTTTCTTTTTTTCTTTTTTTTTTTGAGACAGAATCTCATTCACTCTTGGGGAAAGTACCATGGCGTCATAGCTCACAGAAACCTCAAACTCTTGGACTCAAGGGATCCTGTTACCTCCAGCCTCCTGAGTAGGTAGGACTACAGGCACCCACCATAACACTTGGCTAGTTTTTCTATTTTTAGTATCGATGGGGTTTCACTTTTCTCAGGCTCATCTGGAGCTCCTTACCTCAGGAGATCCACCTGGCTTGGCCTCCTCGAGTGCTAAAATTATAGGCATGAGCCACCAAGCCCAGCCACGTTTTAAATTTCTTAAAGAAAAATGGCTGAATCTTGGTACGAACAATGAGTTTGTGACATTTTCACTTACCCTATTCCCATTCTTCTCTTCCTACATTTGTAATAGCCGCATAAAACAACAGCTTCACTTCCATGGGAACCGTGAGAAAAAGCAGCCTACCAGCTACTAGAGGAGACAGAATAGGTTTGGAGATACCACAAAATCTGTATCGCCAGAGAATTTGCACTATTTGACCTGTATGGCAGCTCTCTAGAAAGACACTATTTTCGGGTCCTTATTTCATATAATGCAAAGATCTCTCATTGCGAACAGTACTATCCCCAGTTCGTTGAAAGTAATCAGTGGCTGGCTCAGCAACAGTGGCTCAAGCGGCTAAGGTACCAGCCAAATACGCCTGAGCTGGCAGGTTCAAATCCAGCCTGGGCCCGCCAAACAATGATGGCTGCGACCAAAAAATAGCCAGGCATTGTGGTGGGTGCCTGTAGTCCCAGCTAGTTGGGAGGCAGAGATAGGAGAATCGCTTAAGCCCCAGGAGTTGGAAATTGCTGTGAGCTGTGATGCCACAGCACTCTACCTAGGGCAACAGTTTGAGGCTCTGTCTTAAAAAAAAAAAAAAGAAAAGAAAATAATCAGTGGTGATTGTTTAACATTGCAGTTGTGTGCTTGAGCCAGCAGTACTAGTTGAAAATCTAGGGGATGATATGCCACTTGGGAGCTTTGAAAAGCTCCACCATATTCCCAGAAATCTAGAAAGTCATGTGCACATTAAGGACTATGAACATGCCCAGGAAAGATATGAGAAGGTCCTCATTTCTCTTCCCTGGCTGATCATGAGACTGTGCAAGCAGGAAGTAAAGCCTGAGGCAGAATTTTTAACTGCCAAAGCATCAAATGCCTGCCCCAACATACTTACAAAGACCCATAGTAAAACCAGGTAGACATACTGGTTTAAGGCATTTAAGGAAATCTCTGTACAATCATTAGCTGACCACTAAGCTAACAAAACAGATTTCAGAGGCCATACACAATTTTTTGTACACATTTTATTATAGATATTTTTTAGTAAATAGATAGGAGTGAAATTGCTAAAATATAGACTAGATATATGGTAAATAGCTATATGCAATTTAAAAATACATAGAGACTTTACAGAATTAGTTCAGGAAAGTCACTAAAAAATGAAAGGTAGTAGCGGCAATAAAAATAGAAAACCTGGGCGGTGCCTGTGGCTCAGTGGGTAGGGCGCCCGCCCCATATACCAAGGGTGGCGGTCCCAGCCAAACTGCAACCAAAAAAATAGCTGGGCATTGTGGCAGGCACCTGTAGTCCCAGCTACCTGGGAGGCTGAGGCAAGACAATCACCTAAGCCTAGGAGTTAGAGGTTGCCGTGAGCTATATGATACCATGGCACTCTACTGAGGGCAATAAAGTAAGACTCTGTCTCTAGAAAAAAGAAACCCTGGGGAAGGGGCATATCATAGAAAACTAGTTTCCAGAGTTTCTACATTAAATGATTTTTTTTTTTTTGGCCAGGGCTGGGTTTAAACCCGCCACCTCCAACATATGACTCCAGCGCCTTACCTTTTTGAGCCACAGGCATTGCCCCACATTAAATGATATAAAATGTTCAGTTTTCAAAA